TGGAGTGCTGCATTTGTGCGTGCGTGCCCCAGATCTATCGGGTGGTTGCTGAGTCTGGCTTGTTAGCAAAATTGCAAGTGCTGTGATATGTTGTATCTGGGGTTTGAGTTGCTGGTCCAATAATACCATCGGTTTCCAGCCCTGTTCGGTTGATTGATTCGTTTCGTTGCTGGTTTGTGAAGAAGTACTGCTGGCTGATTTGTGTGAGAGAGAAATACTGGAAATTTACGATCATTTATGATAAGTTACGACCAAACGAACAGGCTGGTCATTTATTTCTGTTTTCCTGGAACTGCATGCATGAATTTCAGAGTCAGGGAAAAAATTTCTGGTGTGGATTCTGATGGACCTACCAACCCTTTGTGGAAGTAACGCCGTGTTTAGTTTCAGGAAGTCAGAATTTTGGGTTACTGTAGCACTTTCGTTTTTATTTGGCAATTAATATTCAAACATGAACTAATTAGGCTCAAAACGTTCGTCTGCAATTTCTCACCAAACTGTGCAATTGAGTTTTTTTTTAAATTTATTATTTAACATTTGAAAAAAAATCTAAACGAACGGGGCAATGGGAAAGTATTCGACACCTGTGGTGACCTAACACACGGATACAAAACTGGCATGCCTTTTTGGGAATTTTGGGTCAGAACTAAACATGGGCTAAAATGATCAGATGCGGATCCAGAGTCGCAGTCAGGTCCACGTCCGCTTTTGCATGCGCCTCATGATGAATCATGACACGGTTGGTCCATGTAGGCATGTACCCAACCCAAGAGATGTGGGCCAAATGGGCCATGGTAAACCGAGCCACGGCCACCTCTATCTCGTCACACTGTGGACTGGGGGAGCAGCATGCCTCTTCGGATCTCTGACGAGACCATTTTGAGCGTGCCCGTGATCTCATCTGCTCATCACTGGTGCCCACTGTTCCTGGCGTCTGTTCTTTGGCGTGACACCTCATCCGGCGGCTCACCAGTGGTGCGATACTGCGATACGACCCGGTCAGGCAGCGCTCCATATGTACAGCGGCATGCGCCCGTATTTCATCAAGACGAAGGGCGCCTACTCCTCGGAAGCCCTTCTGCGTACGTACGTGCCATTGTCACCGTGCCAACGATCCCGTCGTCCTGGACACCTAACCACGTACGTTATCCGATCCGTCACATGCATGCCCTACTCAAAGTCCGAAACTTTACTTCGCCTTCAATACTGCGCGTCTGGGCCGGACAGCAATCGCTGTAGAACAGTAGCCAAGCTTTGACTTGTCAGTATCCAACTATCCAAGTCTACGTCGACCGATGGCTGACCAGTCGACTCCAAGGCCGGCAGGCCGTCGGGCCGTTTGGGCCTGGCCGGCTGCCCCTGCCCGGGCGATGCAAACCTCAGCCATCTTTTAGCCCATATAGGCCGCCAGGCCAGCCTTGGCTTGCTCACCAGCGCTGGGCTCCTGTCTCTCGCGTCTACTAGTGGGAAAACCTGTACGGATGCCGGCTATGGCAAGTCGGCAAGTGGCAGAGTGAACCGCTCGGACAAATCAGGCTCACGTCACGTTTCCAATCATACAGTTTACATACAGCCTGCACATCTGATGTAACCACAGACAGACGCCGGATACATGGCACATAGCGTTCGTTAACGTACACTTCCATTCTTAGCCAGGTTTGGATGAATATGTATTTATCTCAATTCATATATGTTGTAGTGAATTAGAATAGAATTAAACTAAATTTCATTTCATTTCACTCCAATATATATGGATTGAAGTGAGTACATATGCATCTAAACAAAGACTTAGGTTTTTGGAGAAAAAAAATCAATGGCCAAAAAATGAGAAGGGAGAGGACGCTTGGGGTGCACACAACCAGTAGAGACTTCTGATAGAACTTAAGACCGACTAACAATAGATCTAGCGGGTATAAACATGCATTTAGAATATAGTAAACCCTAGAACATGAATTAAAACTGAGAGAGAGAGAGAGAGAGAGAATGAGAGTGGGGAGGCGTTACCGACCATCGGCAGGCTTGGTGGAGGAGTTGGCCATGGTGTCGATGTAGGGCATCAGTGGAGTCCAGCGACGGAAGCAGTGGCGCTTCCCGTCGCTCACAGCGCCCCATCTAGATTGGCTTAGGTTTGTAGGTGGGGATCGTGGCGGCGGCAGTGAACCACGTATCTAGTGCCCCGGCCCCACCTCCTTTTTATAGCGCTGCGTGATGGGGGGCCACCAACCATTGATTCGGTTGGGCGCCCCCGATCAGGGCGCGGGATCCAGGCCCGACTTGGTCGTTGGACCAAGTCGGAGGAGATCAACCTAACATTCTCCCCTTGATCTCAACTTATAACTTAAATTTAACTTACTTTATCTTGTTCTCATTCCATCACAGATCAGTGCATAGAGTATGCCTCATCATCACGATCAGTTGCCATTAGATTAACAGCTACAATGCACATCTCTGTTTTGAAACAGATTCTCATCTAGGCCCTTATTGTCCAGAAATCATAGGTTTTCTCTTAAACCCATACTAGCTAAGTGTTCTCTGAACACATTGGGTGGTAAGCCTTTTGTGAGCGGATCCGCGAGCATCTTTTCTATACTTATATGCTCAAGACTAATTATATGATCCCGGACTTTATCTTTTACAACATAATACTTTATGTCAATGTGTTTGGCAGCACCACTTGACTTATTATTATGAGCATAACATACTGATGGATTATTATCGCAGCATAACTTGAGTGTCTTATATATGTCGTCTACCATTTTCAACCCGGGCATAAACTTTTTCAGCCAATTCACCGCCTTTGGCCTCACAACACGCTATAAACTCATCATACATCGTAGACAATGTAGTGACGGTTTGCTTGGAGCTTTTCCATGATATAACTCCTCCAACGAGAGTAAATATGTATCTTGACGTGGACTTTCTATCATCTCCCGCATAATCTGAATCTGAATACCCATCTATGTGTAGGGAATTATATATTTTTACGTTAGCATGAGACCTTTTGTGCCTTATAAGTAACGCAAAACTTTCTTTACCAGCCTCTAGTGTTCTATTCCTGGATTACTCTGATATCTGCCAAGTAACCCGGTAACAAACGCTATGTTGGGGTGTGCACATGCTTGAGCATATTGTAAACTTCCGACAGCTGAAGCATATGGAACCGCTTTCATTTGATCGATCTCATATTGGTTCCTAGGACATTGGAATTCCCCAAATCTATCGCCCTTGACTATGGGAGCAGGTGAAGGCTTACAATTTTGCATACTGTATTTCTTTAAAAACTTTTCTATGTATACCTTTTGTGATAATCCTAAACTCCCTTTTTTTTCTATCTCGGTAAATCTCTATTCCCAGAACGAACGAAGCTTCACCGAGATCCTTCATATCAAAATTCGAGGATAAGAACTTCTTCATTTCTAGTAGTAGATTAACATCACTATTAGGCGAGTAAGATGTTCCTCTTAATGAAACAGGCTTCCAATCATGTCCATGAAAAAAATGGATCGTCACTCAATCGAGTGTTAGGTTTATTAAGTGGCTTTTGGATAGTGCTACATTTGTTTTTTATTTTCTTAAAAAAAACTGATGAATAAAAAAAATGGGGCCCGGGTACATTCATTTGATTTTTTTTGGTAAAGAAGGAATGATTATGTTTTAGTCGTTGTGGTTTTGTAGGCTGAAGTCCATGGATCAGAGGTTGTACAGATGTCTAGTTCAAAGAAAACTAGATATACATAGATCGAACCTTTCAACAAATTAAATCATGTGGAAAAAAAGTACACCCGAAGCCCATATACTTGAACAAACACTCTAAAAAAGTAACAAACCTTACTCGTTTGTGAAACACCAATTCACAAGAACACAGTATTATGTTTTCTCTTTGCCCAGAATCAGCGCAGAGTGAGCAACTCGCATGTTTGGTACGACCTAGTTGGCCAGAACGTGGGTAAAATTTTGTATTCCGAACATTCAAAGGATTGAAGGTATTCATGAGTTGGATTCGAATTCAAGCTCATTCTTGGATTCAGTTCTTTCTAGCTTGTACAGGTTGTGTGCAAAATGAGTAGAAACTGTAGTAACGCAGAATATAGGATTTCATGGGTTGAGAATGAGAAACACCAATAGATGGATTTGAGGCCCATTCAACAACAGAAATATGGGAGTGTGAATCTTGCTTTTTTTTTGTAAAAAGTGAGACTAAGCAAAAGGCCAGTTGTTTGTGTTCTATATATTTTGGTAGTTCGGTGAATGTTTGCTAGCTCTGATTTCACTACTGCAATTCAGAAAGAAACTTTGAACTTACTATAGTACTACACAAAAAACTGGAAAGAATGTTTTCAAAAAAAAAAAAAAAAAACTGGAAAGAATATCAACTTGTTCCAAAAGGCACATATCATAGATAGCTTAATAAGGTGGATTCATGCTTCTGATCCGGATCAAACCGGACATGTAGCTTTGAAAAGGATGATCATAATCTGTCCTATATAACTATGTGTGTATGAATCAAAGCTCATAATTGCTAAAAAAAATGAAAGCTGATAATTAAACAAGTAGTGGTAATATATCATGATGTAGTAGTAGTAATCAATGAATGGAATTTCTATGTACAAGCAGACATACATACACAGTAAGGCAACACTCTCTCAAGTCCCCCAACCTAGCTAAAAAACAACAAACAAAGACGAAGGCAAGTGGTCGAAACAAGACGTAGCGTACGGACAGCTTCTTGCTAAGCTAGTAGTAGCTCGACGACCGTCTAACGCACGCATGGCATGGCAGGCAGAACGGACACGGAGCGGACCTACAAAACTTCTTTCGTATGGTACTCAACCTCCAATCAGATATCACTCGGCGAGATGGAAGAAGCAGCAAAGAAAGAAAGAACACACGGAAACCAATCACTCAACCAACAGCATGGTCACGGCGCTTAAATCATGTCGACGAGACGACCACCATTATTGACGTGTACGTGTGTAGCTAGCAGGTCGTCGTGCAGGGAGCTAGTGATGCCCGACGCCGGGGCTCGGGACGGACCCCAGCACCCGCGCGGCGGCATTGCCAGTGGCTGTCGTCCTCCTGCCGCCCAACGACGCCGGCGTCGATCCTCGGAGCCCGCTCTCGGGCGCTGCTGTCGCCACCGCCGTCGGCGACGGTCCACCATCTCCCTTGCCACCGCCGGCGCCTGCGCGTGGTCTTACGTCGGCAACAAGCAGCACCCTTGCCGCGGCTGCGCACGGAGGAGGCGTCGCCACGAGCATCACGGCGAGCGAGAAGAGGAGGACCAGCACCGCCACTCTGCAGCTGCACGCGGCGGCCATCTCTTGCTAGCTTGCTCTCGATCGATCCTATCTTTATCTGCGTGTGTGTTTTTAGTTGCTGGTCGGTCGGGGAGGATACCGAGGGGATTAGGGAGGGTTTATATAGGCCGCGAGTGGCGCGTGGTGCCGCTGCCGCTGCGCAGTGTGGCCAGTGGGAGAACGCGATGGAGGCGTGGGGACAAAGGCAACGCCACGGCGCGTTGCGGCCGCGCGCGGCAGCCGCAGTCGCAGCAGCCAGCCAAAAGGCATCGTCCGGAGCATCGAAACCGGAGGAAGCGGACGAAAAACACGCGGACGCGGAGCGGGTCGGTTAGTCAGGCGACGTCAGGATCCCGCGACGATTTCACATCGAAAAAAAGGCTCGATAGGGAGCCGGCGGGGTGGCCACCCGGTCCGGCGGTGAGAGAGCGACCTGCGCGCAGGAGCTGCCGGGGGTCGGGGTCGGGCGGGCGGACGAGAGCTAGCGGCCCGTGCGCCGGCGTCGCGTCGTACGTCGGCCGGTTTGCGCTCGTCCGGGACGAATTATGTTCTTTTTTTTTTGGTTGAAAGACGAATTATAGGTTTTGTTAAAGCGCCCCCACATGCCACCCTCTTATGGGTTACATTTCATCGTATTGTTCGATCTAAGTGGGCCATCTATAAAGAGTAATACAGCTGGTACGGTGGCCAGCACTGTTGCACTGCTCACAGAACAGTACCCGCCTGGTAATAGTATTCGCTCTGTCTTGCTGTTGTAGTGTTCTCCAAGAGCAATATCCACTCCATATTTTGGACTATGCGTCCCTGTTTTTTTTTTCATATGTGTTTGCCCATCTAAATATGTACAGGATTTTTTTGGACACGTTTCATTAAATCAAAATGGGCTACGTTTACTTTTGTTTCCATATCTTCTCAGTTTTTATATGAACTAAAACTATGTCAGAGGCTAGAGTAATCAGGAGCTCGCAATTTGGCCTCCCGCAAAAGCGCGGTGTGCCAGCTAGTTTCACATGAACTTTGTAGAAACAAAAGAACTCGAATACAAAACAGTCCAAATCCCACGAACGTAAGGTAAATTTCACATAAAAAAGTGAACGTTTTAGAAGCCGTCATTTTCATATCAAAGGGGTAAAAGGAGGAGCAACATGTAGCGCAAAGCAGATCAAGAAAATAAAAGGCGTTTGGTTTAGATGCAATGTTGGTCCAGCTGATCGTGTTGCTCTTGCTTCTCAGGAAAGCTTTCCTTCACGAGCTGTGAGACCAGGCGACAATTATGCCCCCAGAGGCACCATCCACTGTCCACGGACCGGTCGATGAAAATCTTAAGCCATAATTATTGGACGAACTCAAAGAGATAAACAACACCTGCCCTGGACCAATGCTCATTTGCGGTGATTTCAACCTTATCTATCAGGCAACAGATAAGAGCAACAACCGACTGAACCTTTGATCTATGCGTCGATTCCGGTGTGCCATCGATGACATCAACGTCAATGAGCTATACCTCCACGGAAGGTTGTACACGTGGAGTGGCGCAATGAGAGAAGAAGACCCACCATGGAACGCATCGATCGTGCTTTCGCCAATGTGCAGTGGCTGGAGGAGTTCCTAGACCACCATCTGAGATCGTTGTCCTCAGACTGCTCGGATCACGCCCCCCTCCTACCGTTCCTTGGTCGAAGCCCAGGTTTCGGTTCGAGGTGTTCTGGGTATGGATGGACAGTTTCAACGATGTCGTCCGGCAGACGTGGGACTGCAACTTGTCAAATATTGATGCATGTCGGGTCCTGGATTTCAAGTTGCGCCGCACCGCCAAGGCGCTCAAGAGTTGGAGCATGCGCAACATGGGTAGCGTTCGTCTCCAGCTTTTCATGGCGAGGGAGATTATTGCACAGCTTGATGTCGCCCAGGAATCCAGGGACCTCACTGACGATGATCTGTCACTTCGTGGTGATCTGAAACGCCACAGCTTGGGGTTGGCGTCCTTCACTCGAACGATGGCGCGCCACCGCTCGCGTATCCGTTTCCTGGAAGAGGGGGATGCGAACACGAATTTTTTTCACCTCCAAGCCTATCACAGGAACCGCAAGAACCATGTCCCTTCTATCCTCCATGAGGACCCGTGGTTCTCGGCCGAAGAAGCAAAGGAAGAGGTCATCTACAACTACTACAAGGACATCCTGGGCACTGCATTCCAGCGCCTGCACTCCCTTCACCTCGATGATCTTGTTAGATAATCTACTACTTCCTTGTGTGAACACACAGCAAGGGAAGGCGGCGTCGAAAAGGCTCCCTGCTGTGGTACTGTAGCCGCTGTAGAGGCAGACGCCGAACGGCTCACCTGCCATACTGTAGTCACATGTAGGGACAGACGCAGAAGTCAGTCCTGCTGTGTTATCTAGTGACTGTAGCAGCACGTTAGCTGTACTAGGACTAGATAGATAGAGTTGTATAAATAGTTTGCCACTGCAACTTAGTAAAGAGAGTTCAGATTTGCCATCTCCTATACAGGGCTCCGGCCAACACTAGTGCTTGTACTGTGTGTTTATGCTCTGTTCTCCCTCTTCTTCTACTTCTAGCCATAGTGTGTGTGGTCGGACAGCCTCGGTCGTGCTCGGTCGTGGTCGGCAAGACTGGTGAGTGATCAACTCACCTGAACCGGCGATCCTGTGGGCTAACAAGTGGTATCGGAGCCGTATAAGCGCCGTCGCCGGACTAACCGCTGGCGATGACGAACGATTCAGAGATGGGCGACAGCAGTGGCACTGCTGTGTGTTCGCACGGTGCGGGAGGTCAGCGGCACCAGTTGGTCGACGCTGACTCGCACCAACTATGGAGAGTGGTCGGTGACCATGAATGTTAAGGTCAGAGCCCGACGACTCTGGAATGTTGTTGACAAGGGCACCGATAATGAGAAAGATGACAGTCAACGTTGGAGGCTATCCTCGCTGCTGTACCGACGGAGTACAGAGAGTCGTTGGGGGTGAAGAGCTCTGCTAAGGAGGCGTGGGAGGCTATTGCGGCGATGCGCGTCAGTTCTGACCGTGCAAAGAAGGCGACGACCCAGCTTCTGAAGCAGGAGTACGCCAACCTCAAGTTCAAGGATGGTGAAATGGTGGAGGATTTCTCCCTCCGCCTGCAGACGCTCATCAGCAAGCTGAAGAGCCACGATATCACCATCGACGAAGAGGAGGCGATCTCCAAGTACCTCCACTCCGTGCTAACAAAGTACATCCAGATCGCTCTCTCCATAGAGACGATGCTGGACTTGTCCACCCTCACCATTGAGGATGTGACAGGCCATCTGCGGGCGGTGGACGAGCGCTTGGAGCAGGCGACAGCAACGAAGGACAGCGGCAAACTGCTGCTGATAGAAGAGGAGTGGGCTGCTCGGAGGAACTCCGGGAAGGCAGCCTCCTCCAGCCGCGGTGGCGATGGCAAGCGCCGCGGCAAGGCTTCTTCGGAGAAGAAGAAGCAGGTCAACCCCAACGCCTATTGGCGCTGTGGGAAGACGGGCCATTGGGCACGGGAGTGCCCAAATTGCAAGCAGGAGAAAAAGGCTGAGGCTCATCTAGCGTAAGCTGATGATGATGATGAGGCCACTATCCTGATGACGACGTTCTGTGCACTACACGATGTCGAGGCCGATGAGAAGAAAGAGGTGACAATGGTGGAAGGACCTGGAAAGGCCTTGAATACTGTCAACCTCGACGAACCACGTGCCCAAGTCCACATCGGACGTGTGGGCGCCGACCAGGAGCAGCGGTGGTATCTGGACTCTAGTGCCAGTAACCACATGACGGGCTCCAAGGCAGCCTTCTCTAAGCTCAACGACGATGTTACCGGTACAGTGAAGTTTGGTGATGGCTCACGGGTGGCAATCCAAGGGCACAACGCCATCATATTCAGGTGCCAGAACAGGGAGCATCGTGCGCTAATAGATGTATATTACATCTCGCAGCTGCGTTCCAGCATCATCAGCATTGGTCAGCTGGATGAGCGTGGTAGCGAGGTACTGATCAAGGATGGAGTCCCTAGGATCAGGGACTAGGAGCAGCGACTTCTTGCCAAGGTGAAGAGGTCCCTGAACCGGTTGTACCTGCTCGACCTAAAGGTAGAGCAGCCGGTGTGTTTGGCGGCAAGGCACACCGAGGAACCGTGGATGTGGCATGTCCGGTTCGGACATCTCAGCTTCGACGCACTTGGTCGGCTGGAGAAGATGGTCCGAGGGCTACCCCACATCAAGCACGGAGGCGAGCTGTGTGACAGCTACCTGGCCAGGAAACAGAGGAGCTACCATTTTCAAAGGCGGCCAAGTATCACGCGAAGGACGCTCTCAAGCTCGTCCACGACGACCTCTGCGGGCCGATCACGCCAGCTACAAACGATGGTCGGTGGTACTTTCTCCTGGTCGTGGATGATTGTAGTCGCTACATGTGGCTACAACTTCTGACGAGCAAGGATGAAGCGGCGGCGGCGATCAAGAAGTTCAAGATGCGCGCGGAGACCGAGAGCGGCAAGAAGCTCCGCGTGCTGAGGACTGATCGCGGTGGCGAATTCACTTTGGTGGAGTTCGCTGCGTACTGCGCGGATCAGGGTGTGGTGCGACACCACACCACGTCGTACTCGCCACAACAGAATGGCGTGGTGGAGAGCTGGAACCAGACAGTGGTCGGCATGGCTCGATCCATGCTGAAGGCCAAAGGCATGCCGGCAAGGTTCTAGGGTGAGGCGGTGACCATGGCGGTGTTTATCCTCAACCGCTCTCTGACCAAGGCCCTGACGGGCAAGATATCGTTCGAAGCTTGGTATGGACGCAAGCCGAGCGTGTCCTTCCTTCGGACATTCGACTGCATCGGCCACGTCAAGAAGACAAAGCTGATCCTCACCAAGCTAGAGGACAGGAGCACACCGATGGTGTTCCTGGGCTACGCGGAGGGTACCAAGGCATACTGGCTCTACGACCCACGTGGAGACAAGGTACTTGTCTCGCGCAACGTCATGTTCGACGATAAGGTGGC